TCCTAATATTTGAAGTAACGCTTATGGCGCCTGATTGAGGAATAAAAATGGCCTTTATCTTACTGATATACAAAGTAAAGCCATTAAAACCGTTACAATCACTAACCCCAAGAACTACTCAACTGATCTCGTTTAAACTTTGCATACTGGTGTTCGACACCTCTTGAATGGTCTGAAGTCATTATTAACAATACAAAAAAATAAGCTTAAATTTTTTTAAGAACATGCTAGCTTACAATTTCAGTTTAGCAGAATCTGGTAGGTAGCGTAGAAGTAACATCTAAGCTACCTGCAATAGAATAAGATAAGTCTGATTATCATATCCCTGACTTTAAAATAAAGCACCACAGTTGATCATCGGCAGAGCATGAAGTATAGAGACGAAGGTAAGTATTCTGGCTACCAACAACACTGTTACTTATCAAGCATGCAACTTACGTCAAACTCCATCCCAAACCATCAAGATTAATGAGTGCCACCAATAGAGAGGTGTTGTAAACGCATATGTCTCCTGCAAAATACCAAGAGACATATCTAGCCAGAGCACAATCTCCTAGAGCTACCAAAGCACATTTTGCTACAACAGTAAGACAGGAAAAACGATCCTGAAAATCTTGGTCAGCCACAACGGCCTTCATTTCAGTGGTCATTCTAATGTCATACCCAGATAAGTTATTCTCCAAATCCACTTTCCTGACTAACGATGAAAGGTTGGTTATTTAGTAAAAGACTAGACAACGAGATACTTATTGGTCAGCAGCGTTCCTTCCTTCAGTACGATCTCCTTACACAGAGACTCCAAGGATAAGAGTCAAGCAACCCGCAGCTGGATTTCCATCATCAAGAATAATAATAAAGAATAACTGGAAATTTCAACACTGGCCCTTTTCGGGGCCATTATAAGGACTTACGTTTTTTACTTAACCATCAGTGTCATTGGTTCTTTTAAAAGACACCTAAGGTTAAGCCATTTTAACAACATACACATTTTTACTACTATTTACAGTAAGGATAAGTTGACTAAGAAACTATATGAAGCACGTGACTATTGAACTAAGTAAGTCATTCACTGGCAAACACCACGAGCAGAGTTGTTTGCGCAAGGCTGAGAACCCGGACGATCGACGACCCAATAATACCCTCTTGACTCAAAGCATTGAATTAGGAATCACAGATCCTCTTTGCTGGGTGAACCTAACAGCTATAAAGAAAAAATAAACTTTAGCAAATAAGACAGTCTTCAACAGGTAAGCATCATGAACCGATCTCCCATTTGGACGTGGAAGTATCTTGATGGCAAATGTGTAACAACGTAAAAAAGTTGACCAAAAACAGCCTTTAGGGCTTACAAGAGTCTTAACAATGCCAAAGTTATATACAGGCGAATTGAAAGAAAAACTTCAAATTCATCAAATGTATACAATTAAAGCTGTTAAGAAGCTGACGCAGAATATTCATCAAGATTAAAGTAGCAGCATTTAAATTGATAGATAAAAATTTATTAAATGAGAGATCAACTTTATATTATGAGCCTCACCGTAGTCACTTAAATCTTATATTTGTATATTTGTAAATAGGAAGAATATGTATTTGTATTTAGTGTGGCGATAAAAAGTGAAGAAATTCAGCATCAGAAGTTTGTTGCTCTGGTAAAAAAGTTGTAGAATATAAGAAAAATTATTCAATTATAAATTTTTTGCAAGGTTTAAGTCTTTACAGCTTTGAAAAATAGCACTCTTCATTTATTGAACAGGAGAAACTAGAAATCAATAGAATATCAATTTTACGAAATTTTTTACCACGTCACACGTCACTTTTTTGAGGTGCCTACAAAGAGTGAAAACTGTCTTACTTTTTAAAATTTATATTTGCCAGAATAGGTTAAGAGTAACAAATGTTCCTGAAAGTTCTGGAAACAAAATCTAAAAAGTTTCATTCATATCGGTTGTATCTTCCCCTTTTTCTAGATATTAAAGTTTGTTTCGCTTATTTACTGGATTATGCTTACTTAACAGAAAAAATAGCAAATAAGTCAATTGAGTAAAATCATTATTAAACCCCGTAAATTACGATTATAAGAACTAATAGAGTATATATTTTCTCTCTCTTTTTTTTACTTTTTTTTGTCATTCACTCTCTCTCCCTTTACATGTGTGAATGGGGTACCACTTATATCTATGCTTGCATATGTATATTGTGTATTTCATTTAGTACTGACTTGTCGATGCTGTTAATAAGACTAATGATAGAATAAGGAAAGCATACATAGTTACATCTAGCTTTCCAAAGAAACATTGACATATATTGGAACAAACGATACAGTGTGTAAGCTGCGTTATCTCTTTCTCTTTTTGGACATCCCACTCTTTTAATAGCCATTCCCTAGCCACCACATAGCAGCAGCAAGCAGTGGGAAAAAGGCCGCAATGATCGGGAAAATCAGAGCACAACCAGTGTCGAAGAGAATGAGAAATTATCACCAGTCATCTTTTCTCTTTTGGTAATATACATCCGTTTGTAGTTAGTTTCATTTGAAAAGTGATAATCAGATGTTTCGTGAGTTATAAGTATACATCCATCTAAAAGTTGACTTAAATAATTTAATGTTTAACTTTGAGAGTGCCTTATTGCTGTAGAAATTTGTGTAGTTTTTCCTTTAAATGTTTAGAAGGAAGCTCTTCATTGCGGGTTACGATGGGACATATACTTCCCGTTGACAAGGATGGTGAGGAACAGGGATTCATCAGCCAAAATGTTTAGAAAACAGCATGCACTCTTAGGCGAGAGGGGAATTACAGGGTAACAGGGGCAATACAGAGCAAGAGAGGAAGAGAGAGTCTACCAGTGCAGGGATTCATCAGCCAGAAAGCGTAAGAATCAAGCGCCCACTTATAGGGAGAGAAAACAAAGAGTAGTTCTGATGATACAGAGAGAGATGGAGGGATAGCCAACCAGCTCTGGAACCTATTAGCCGGAAAGCGTAGGAAAAATGCGTTTACTCCTATTTTTGCTGACCGAAAGAAAAAAAAAAAGAAACTAAATTAAAGAGAGTACAAACCGTTGTGTTTTTGTAAGCCCATGTTATTTGAAAAAATGGGATCACTTTTTTGGTCAACATACATACACATGACTCTCACACTTATCTAGGTTCAGTCGCCACAACCACATAACCAGTAGGGAATTAATGGCAAATTTTAATATTCAATTTCAAAAAATAAATAGAGTTAGCAAACATTGAATATGCTTTTACAAACATACTAAGTGACCCACAAATATGTGTTTAAGGAGATTAAATGTGTGTAAGTGTGTTGACACCCTCACTTTGCGGCGTAAACAGTATAACGCAATACGCACATACGTCTGTGCACTCGCTGGTAGAGAAATAAGCAAGGGAACTGATTTTGATAAACAATATTGGGATCTCAAAACGTGACGTGACTTTCGCGATGTACGTAACCAAGTCAGGATAAATTAACATAGGCCTCATGGAAACTAATCTGTTTTTATTTTTTTTACGCTGGAAACAGTTGTAATACGATAAAAGCTGGTAAATAATATCTTCTTTAGGGAATAAGGGTATTGTATCTAATTTTTTTCACAACTCAATCGTTATATGAAACTTAAAACCTTACTTTTAAAGTGAGAAATGCACGTTAACCTGTACACATCCCTTTCACCACTGCTTATGTATATGTTTACAGACATGACTTTTATATGTGCGTTTATCACTTTCAAGGTAAGGTTTCAAGTCTCTTATAATAATTGAGTTGGGAAAAAAGTTAGTAACAATACCATTATTCTCTTAAAGAGATGTTATTTTCCAGCTTTTATAGTATTACAATCGTTGTAGGCGTAAAAAAAAAAATGGACCTATCCTCATAAGGCCTGTGTTAATTTACCCTGCCTTTATATATCAAGACTCGGCTGTATACATCAAGAAAGTCACGTGATATGTTCAGATTCCAATACAAATTTTTTTACAAATGTTTTAACAAATTAATTCTTGCGTATTCCATTATTTGTATTTTTTTTTTTTTTTAACTAAATGACATACTATATTATCAATAATTATCACTTTTAATAAGCCATTATAATTAAAATTCGGTAGGAAAAAAAAGCTAATGCTATCTAGCTCGAGGCTTTTATACATGACAAATCAACAGGAAAGATATTTACCGCAGTAACACACAGTAAAAAAAACATTTTGAACTTAGATGTATTTGTGAACCTTGCATATTACAGAATACATGTGATTTCTACATACAAGCGAGAACTTTGTTCTTACCGCAGGACTCCGAGTCACACACGCTGGTTTTTTCCGTATCATATGGAATTTAATGCTTTTTAATATCACAGTGAGAAAACGTCAATAAATTTAAGAAAAAATATATTGGATCCATAGTAATACATAGATTATAGGAAATTACCTATGTAATTATTATGTGTCTCAATATTAACTCTTTTTTAGTTTTACGTTTGCAAAGTTTAATTTCTTTTGTTGATCTTACTGACTTGTATGACTACAGTATCCAAAAATTAATTTTACTGCACTTTGGTCACTGTGCATATGATGATTTCCTGTTATCACCACACTCGTATAGTTAAGCCATAAGGACGACATGAAAATAATGTTGAAATATTGGTAGATGTAATTTGTTGAACTAAAAAAGGCCATGTGCAAATTATCAAATCCTACATTGGTAAGTTCATTTTTATTACATTATTTATAAGTCGATTGTATCGTTTCCGTCAAATCTATTTATTCTGTAATGAAAAATAAATTTAGTTTCTACCATGATTATAAAACATGTACTGTAGTTAAAAATTCCATGGTTTCTCGTGACTATCGACATCTAGTATAAATTTATTAATAAAAATAATGTCTTTAACGATTGCTAACTATTATTATACAGCAAACTTAAGTTAAACTTTTTCTTTTTGAAAAGTAATTGAACATTACGATCCTTTTAAGATTGCAAATATTCATCTCAGTTCTCCTTACACTTTCTAAATCAATTTAAAATCAAAAGCAATGGCACTTGTTAGCTGGACATTTACTTAGATATACTAAGCACTGATCTAAACAATATGCTATGGCTCCCTTTCTTCCTGCTATTTCTCCTTGTGGCTGACAATCTGTTCTGAAATAAACAGATAAAGTTTATATATACATAGCTTTTTGCTTTAAAAGTTTTATAGTAACAAATAAAAAGTAAAGAGTTTCTATTTATAGTACTGTATGCTAAATAGTAGGCTGAGACTATTCAACAGAAAAGATTTTGTCTATTCAATAAGAGTCATGGCGATGTCATTTAGGACAAAGAAGGGGGTGCACTTCAAAGGTCATTAGCACCCTACTCTATCTTTGTATTCTCTTCTCTCATTTACTTTAGTTTAAAAACAAAGTTAACAGTTGCATAAGTAGCAAAGAGAAATGTTTTATGAATTATTATAGTAAGTTTATAAGGTACACTAACAGTTCAGTATGAGCAACTTAAAATATTCACACAACTTTTAATACATTACACCTTCTGGAAATTTTAGAAATGAATTCTTTAACAACGTCATTTTAGTCTAAGGCCAAAGTCTTTTTTCTGTATACGTGCAGTATTGCTAGAAGGTTAAGTTTTCTTTGGTTCATTGGAAGTTGGTGGTACACCCTGATGTGTCGAAGGACGCTTGGTGACCGTTGACATAACGTCAATGTAGCTGATACTTAAAAGAGCTAGACTACCAGCTTATCTATTTGAGCACTCACTGACCTTGATATTTTTGGTAGATTAGTCAGCTCCCTTGTGTGTTCTCAAATGGTCTTTATCTGGGATATAAGCTATTTTCATTTGAAATATTAGTAACTCAATATTAAAGTTGATCGTGTGAACACCTTAATTAGTCTGGATAACATTTTCTAAAAAGCTTTTTAACAGAAACTTTTTATGTTGGGCCATGAACAGCCACATGTGGAAAAATGGGTTACAAAAAAAAAGTAGCCACCCGCCCTGCGACCCAAGCTCTCTCCTTAATCTCCTGTCATACCCACTGTCTCCTAATCTGTCTCTCTCTCTCTCTCTCTCTCTCTCTCTCTCGAATGTGTACCACCCGCTCTCTTCCCCTCACGCTGCTACTGTACCTATATATTGTACACATATAAAAAAGATATATGGTATATATATTTCTACGCTACGACTAAAGCCATGCGGTTTCTTAAGCTGAGATAGAGGTGTAGAAAAAAGATACCGGAAAAGAAATACAATTGTACACACCTATACTAGAAGCAAAGTATACGTATGTGTATTGTATACGTATTTATACGTGTTGTATGCTCGATTATTATACACATGTCTGTTCAAAAACGTGCACAAGTTATGAAATATGTAAAATACGATAACCTAATCTTTGAAATTAAGAAAAAACGCTGTATCTCGAAAGGAAAGCCAAATTGGCTAAAAATAACAATTTTTATGGGATTTCTAAAGGAGATTTAAATGATTTAGGTGTACCAAATTTAGGGCTTAACTATGCACAATTATAACCTTAATTTTTTTCTTTTTTGACATTATCTTAAAAAAAACAAATTAAAAAAAGTTTTTCTTTTGTATGCCATGTTTGAAAATCAATATGGACATGTATAAATTCTTGGAAAATTTTTTGTCAGAACATAACTTCTTTTAACAATAACTCTATGTATAGAAAATAATTATTGAAGTGCAAAAATATATGTTACACGGCTTTATACAGACAATCACAAAATTCTCAAAACACTGAAAGTCTTATCCCAAACAAAAAGCTACATCCTACATACCTTACCTATTAATTGATTTATTTTTTATTTTATATCATGTGTTATAAGAATAATTATCTCGTGACTAAAACCTATATTCTTATTATTATAAATTTTAGAATAAGTAGAGATTGGTTATAAGCACGGGTGAACTTTAATATTAATTAATAAATAATCATAGAAAACGAGTTGAATGAGAAATAACAACTTTACAATGGAAAGTAGCTGTATGTCTATTGTTTTTCTGAATCTCCATCAGGAAGAGTAAATTATTTTACTTTTTTGGTAGCCAAAATTAAAAAAAAATTGAATTCGTTGCATACAATGATTCTCACAAAAATTTATTGCACATATAGGATGTCAAATCAAATGTATGAATGGTAATTTTAAATGTAACAGACAAATTGACGTGACTGGAGAAAAGCACCCTCATACGGGGCACTATGGTGAGCATTTTTGTTTCTTTCTGTGTCTTATGACCAACAATTTCTACATATTATAACTAATTAATTCATTAATTAGATGTGGTCCAAATTCATACATATATTTTAGCAAACGTAGAAGTACTCAAAGTCACGAATCACGTGTAACATAAGTAGCATGAATAAGTATGTATATTTTATGCACGTGCGTGCTCTAATCAGTAATAATAATTAAATTTTGACTGTTTGAATACTGAATTCCTAAGGACCTGTTGAAATTAGGTGTTATCTCATTTTCTTAGTATCTATCATACAAAACTTAATAACATTTGAGTTCAAAGTTTTACTTTTACTGGGGGTTCCAAGAGACACACCAATTTTTTTATTCAATAATTCAGAATAATAGGTCCAAACTTAAATAAGTAGTTTATTTAGATTAACTCAAACTTCATTTTTTACTTATTTTTTGACAAGTTTAACACTGAAATAAATATCCGACGCAGACTATTTCTAGGTGACGGCTGTACAGCTTCTACTTTATTGTAAATCCATCCCAGGCATTTTCGAAGAATTAAAATACAGGGTATTGTAGACATAGTTAGTTTTATATTTTTATCAGCATGAGCTTTTTCTGTAACCATCAATACACGATAAGAATCGAATGTTTTCATGAAACTGTACAAAATTCGTAATGGTTGTGCAGAATACTATGCGCTGGTAGGAAAATGATCACTATTTTTTATAGGCTCAGCTTCTTTCTTTTCTGAGTTACAGATTAAGAGGGCAATATATAATGCCAATGAAGTTTGTATATCTCCTCAGGATGGCCATGACGAGTAGCCCTGTAATCATCAGTTATATAACATAACGAGAAATTATCTAGCATTACTGTAAGAGTTTTCTGAACATTCACTTACGACAAGTCATTCTTCACTGTTTTGGAAAGAGTTTTTTCTGTATCATCACACGCATTGTATGGATCTGTGAAATCTTCTCTCATTTGTAGAAAGTTGATTACTACGTATCGAAAATAAGTAGACAACTGCTCATTGCTTATTGTGTCAGTAGTTTCATCGGCCATCAGACGAAGAAAAAGACTACTATTTCTATTACGAATGAGCTTACACTGTACTGGGTGTAATCATTATTAGAATCATTTTATTCTGAATATCATGACTAACCCACTTATCCTACCGTTTAATTTAATTAAAAACTTTTTTATGAAAAATGTTTAAAAGGTTTTGTTACCGTCCAGGGTTTTCTTTATTAATCATAAATTGTTAAAATAATTATGATTCTTTAAATTCAATCGATTTACATGAATTTGATTTTTAAATGTCGCGTGCAGCTCTGATTTTAAAACTTTGCACTTGATAGTACCACCTACCACCCACTATGTGGCAACTACTAGTTTCTGGCAATCATCGCAAGTAAAAAAGTTATTTAGAGTACATAAGAAGGGCTGCGTGACTTCTTGAAATCATCGTTTCGGAAAACACGATCTAAGACATATCTAGGTTCTCGCTCTTTCAACGAGACCTACGCTACGGCAGTGGCTAAAAGCACCAATAAATTAGAGTAAAATACCTATGTTTAATGTTACATTGAAACTCGATGTATAAACTCTTACGCGACCCACTCTTGCCTTCATTATCCACACTACGAGGCACTGTTATCCAACTACTGGAAGAGTTGGACAAACAATCGAGGCTCTTTTCTGCTAGTAATCGCATCTCATGGCTATGGATTCGTCTCGACTACTGTGAGTCACTGCTCAACCAGTAACCAGTGAGACTAGCTCCAGCGGTGACATCGAAATCCATCAGAAGCACTGCCTCTCCTCGCCTGTAGTCTCCAGCATAGACACTAACTTTAGCGTTGGTATTGGAGTTCAGCAGAAGCACTATCTCATTTCTCCTAGAGTCTCCAATCCAGGGTTCTCTCTGTGGATTCATCTCTACAGCCAACTTGACTCCCTGGGAGAGGATTCTCATCCACCCTCACTCCCTTTCGTTGTTCTAAGCCACGTACTCCAATAGGTCGCTCATAATAGTTCTCTTTATTACCTGTTGATCCTTGCAGTACCTGGCCTGAACGTTTAAAGAAATTAATAGAGCTGATGGTGGGGTGCATTGCGATATGTACAGACTATCATTCTTGTTTCAGTTATATTATAAGATAAACTACTTCTAACACTTTCTTTAATACCTGAAAAACATTTTCAGCAGATTTGGAATAAAAATAACTAGACTAATATTCTTCCAGATTTTCCTAAGCCTTTCACCAGTTTTGAATTCTCTTAGAAGTTAATACTTTCTCAATACCTCTAATACCGTTGAAATTTTCTGTGTAATGTGTTTGGATGCAAATCAAGTACCAAACGTAGTAATTTTTTTTAACGATAACATAGCTATTTAAACTTGAAAAAACAATCCTGAATGCAAAAACAGCTACTGTCATTTTTAGTGATCCCTTATAGTGAGCACTTGGAGCTGTTGCTGCCTACCTCTAACAGCAGGAGGCATCAGCTAACTACAGGAGAAATGGTTTGCCGCAGCCTCATGTACAATTCGTACATACAACTGGCCTATGAATGAACTGTAGACTGAGCAGCTGCTGACTGCAGTCGGCCACTACTTGTTGTCTACTGTAATTAGCTATCGCTAGCTGTAGCCAGCGACAGCTTTGACTACTTACTGTAAACGTTCTCTTAAGAAACTTAAAATTTTTCAATGGCACGAATCGCTCTATTAGCTTTCCTTCTATGACCATAGGTACCACTGTAAATCTAATCAACATATAAAAACTAACTATTTCCAAACCAAACGTCTACTGCCTGTCAATATTATTTCAAAGAGAAATAGGAAAGTAAAGCAAACAAGAAGAAAAATCATCTAACCACTACTAATCATATTTTATAAAACGCGAGAAACATATA